ATCCGGAAGGACGCCTTCGCCGACGCGGTGCAGCGGGCCCGGCAGGTGAGGGGCCCGGCGGGGGGGGAGGCACCGGGAGGCGCCGGGGGCCCCCCCCGCCCCCGCCGCGGCGCCGCGGCCCCTCCCCCACCCTCCCGGTAAGGCCCCGCCCCCCCCCTCCCCGGGGGGGGGGCGCGAGGGGTGATACCAGCCCCCCCCCCGCGACCTCACGTGACCCCGGGGTGGGGGGGGCGGCTGTTACCGGGGTGACCCCCCCACACACACACCCTTTATAGTGAGTGTTCAGGGGGGTCCCCAGCCCCCCCGTCCCGGGTTATGGGGGGTCCTCACTGATGTGGGGCTGGGGGGGGAGTTTGGTGGTGACCCCCCCCCTTCTCTGGGCCTCACAGAGGGGGTCCCCCTCATGATGTGGGGGGTTTGGGGGCTCCCCATTGATGTGGGGCTCATGGCGGGCATCTGGGGGCTCCCCATTGATGTGGGGCCCATGGGGGAGGGTCGGGGTTCCCCATTGATGTGGAGCTCATGGGGGGTGTTTGTGGGCTCTCCATTGATGTGGGGCTCATGGTGGGGTTTAGGGGTGACCCTCATCTCCTATCGGTGCTATAGGAGGGGTTTGGGGTCCCCCCTTTTTATGAGTCTCAGAGGGGATTCCCTCTGATGTGGGGCCCATGGAGGTGGTTTGGGGGTGAGCCCCCTCCTATGGGGCTTGAGGGAGCATTTTGGGGGGCTCCCCCCCGTATGTGGGGCTCACAGCAGTGATTGGGGGGGTCCTGCCCCAATGTGCGCCTGGAGGTTGGGATTTGGAGGTCTCCCCCTTGTTATGGGGCTCACACAGACCCCCCCTTTCTGTGAGGCTTATGGAGAGCTTTTGGGGGGGTTCCTCTATAACGGACACTTGGGGGGGGCTTCTTACAACAGGAAAAACAAGGGGGGGGGGTTGGGTGCTGGGGTGGGCCTCTTTTGGGGGTGCCCTCCCGGCCCCAACCATTCCCTTTGCAGATAGCGGCCAAAATCGGGGGGGATGCGGCTACGACGGTGAACAACAGCACCCCCGACTTCAGTTTTGGGGGGCAGAAACGGCAGCTGGAGGATGGCGGTAAGGGAGGGCGCCCCAGAAATGGGGAGAGCACCGTGAAAATGGAGGGCACCCCAAGAAAAGGGGGAAGGCACCCCAAAAATGGGGGGCGCACCCCAAAACCCCCCATCTTCCTTCTGGGGGGGATCACTGATGGTGTTTCCCCCACCCTAGACCAGCCCGAGAGCAAGAAACTGGCAGCACAGGGGGACTGTGAGTATGGGGGGGTTAAGTGGGGTGGTATGGGGAGGCTATAGGGTTCCCCCCGGCCTCACTGGGGTTTGGTTCCGTCCGCAGCGCTCCCAGCCCCATTGGGACCCATCCACCCCCCACCCAGGTGAGACAAAAGATGGGTTATGGGGGGGGAGGGGGTTGGGGGGTCTGGTGGGGGGGTTTGGGGGTGTCTAACCTCGCTTTGCGTGTGCAGGTCGACGGTGACGGAAGAATATCGTGTCCCTGATGGCATGGTGGGACTCAGTGAGTTGGGGGGGTGCGGGGGGGGGGGCAGGTGGGTCAGGGGGTTCTCCAATGACCCCCCCAATGGTCTCTTGTCCCCCATTTACAGTCATTGGCCGTGGGGGGGAGCAGATCAACAAGATCCAGCAGGATTCGGGCTGCAAAGTACAGATCTCCCCAGGTGAGGGGGGCAGGACCCCCACTTCCCCATGGGGGCTCCCAAAGAGACACCCCCCCTTTTTCCTGCTGGGGGGGGTCCCATTGCTTCCAACCCCCCCATCCTCCATTGCCCCATTGCAGACAGTGGTGGGTTACCGGAGCGCAGCGTGTCCTTGACGGGCTCCCCCGAGGCCGTGCAGTGAGTAGGAGCCTGTGCTCCCCCCCAGAACATGCGTGTGCCCACCCAAACATGCGTGTGCCCCCCAACATGCGTGTGCCCCCCCAGAACATGCGTGTGCCCCATAAACATGTGTATGCCCAGCTAAAACATGCATGTGCCCCCCCAGAACATGCGTATGCCTCTCCTGAACGTGCTTGTGCGCGCCCGAACATGCGTATGCCCCCCATGAGCACGTGTAGCGCCTTAAAATATGCGTGTGGCTCCCAACAATATGTATGTGCCCCCTAAAAACATGCATCTGCCCCCCCAATGCGTATGTGCCTCCCCAGAACATGTGTGTACCCCCCCAACACATGGATTGCCCCCAAAACTTGTATGTGGCTCCTAGCAACATGTATGTGTCAGTAAAAACACACATGTGGGCTCAGTAATACGCATTTCCCCACCAAAACGTGCGTGTACCCTGCTAAAACATGCGTGTGCCCTTGCCTAACACACATGTGGTCCCCAAAACACACGTGTGCCCCCAAAGTGATGTGAAAGTCCCCCCAAACCACCTGTGTGCCCCCCAAAGCACATGTATGTACCCCAGAAACACGTGTGTGCCCCCCAAAACACGCGTGTACCCCTCCAAAACACACGTGTACCCCCCGTGACCTGTGACCCCCCTGCCCCGGCAGGAAGGCAAAGCTGATGCTGGATGACATCGTGTCGCGGGGCCGGGGGGGGCCGCCGGGGCAGTTCCATGACAACGCCAATGGGCAGAACGGGACAGTGCAGGAGATCATGATTCCCGCCGGGAAAGCCGGGCTGGTCATCGGCAAAGGCGGCGAGACCATCAAACAGCTCCAGGTACCGTGCTGGGGGGTGCGGGGGGGGGGGGGGGGGGTGCCCCCTCCCTTCTAAACCCCCCTCTTCCTGCAGGAGCGAGCTGGGGTTAAGATGATCCTGATCCAAGACGGTTCCCAAAACACCAACGTGGACAAACCCCTGCGGATCATTGGGGACCCCTACAAAGTGCAGGTGGGCCCCCCCACACACTATAAAGACCCCCCCCTCAGGCCCCCTGTCCTGCACCCCTTGACCCCCCTGCTGTGCCCCATAGCAAGCCTGTGAGATGGTGATGGACATCCTCCGCGAGCGTGACCAGGGTGGCTTCGGCGACCGCAACGAGTACGGGTCCCGCATCGGCGGCGGCATCGACGTGAGTCCCTAGGGGGGGCCTCCCCCCCGTGGTTTTTGGGGTGGGGGGGCTCCCCCCCCGTAAGCCCAGCCCCACATTGAGCCCCCCTGGCCCCACTGCAGGTGCCGGTGCCGCGGCACTCAGTCGGCGTCGTCATCGGCCGCAGTGGGGAGATGATCAAGAAGATCCAGAACGATGCTGGGGTGCGGATACAGTTCAAGCAAGGTCAGAACGGCCCCTCCCCCCAACTTCAGCAGGGGCTTTTGGGGGGGGCCCTCATAGTCAACCCCTTCCCCCCCCATAACGTTTAACACCCCCAATGTTTAATCCTCTTGCCCGCCCACTGATGTTTGTCCCCCACCTGCTGTTTACCTGCACCACATGTTATTTAATCCCGTTCCCCCCCCATGTTCAAACCCCCCCATGGTTTTTAACCCCCCCCACTGTTTAACCCCATTCGTACTCTTGATGTTTAACCCCCCATGTTCTTTAACTCTCTGTTAAGTCCCCCTATGTTGTTCAACCCCCCCTATTCTGTTTAACCTCATTCACCCACTTGATGCTCATCTCTCCCATGCTGTTTAACCCCCTTCACCCCATTGATGCCCCCCCCCCCGGTGCTGTTTAACCCCACCTGTACTGTTTAACTCCTTTCAACCCCTTGATGTTCAACCCCCTCCCGGTGCTGTTTAACCCCCTTCACCCCATTGATGCCCCCCCCCCCCCTCCGGTGCGGTTTAACACCCCCTGTGCTGTTTAACCCCATTCACCCCCATTGATGCCCCCCCCCGGTGAAGCCCCTTTAACACCCCCCATGCTGTTTAACCCCATTCACCCCCATTGATGCCCCCCCCCCCGGTGCGGTTTAACACCCCCCGTGCTGTTTAACCCCATTCACCCCCATTGATGCCCCCCCCCCCCCCCTCCGGTGCGGTTTAACACCCCCCATGCTGTTTAACCCCATTCACCCCCATTGATGCCCCCCCCCCGGTGCGGTTTAACACCCCCCATGCTGTTTAACCCCATTCACCCCCATTGATGCCCCTCCCCTGGTGCGGTTTAACACCCCCCATGCTGTTTAACCCCATTCACCCCCATTGATGCCCCCCCCCCCCCACCCCCCGGTGCTGTTTAACCCCATTCACCCCCATTGATGGCGCCCCCCCCCCCCCGCTGCTCCCCCCCCGCAGACGACGGGACGGGCCCGGAGAAGATCGCTCACATCATGGGCCCCCCCGAGCGCTGTGAGCACGCCGCCCGCATCATCAACGACCTCCTGCAGAGCCTGCGGGTAGGGGGGGGGCGGCCAGGGGCTCCCCGCCCCCCCGGCGGGGACCGCCCGCCCCTGACACCTCCCTTCCCCCCGCAGAGCGGCCCCCCGGGGCCCCCGGGGCCGGGGCTGCCCCCGGGGGGGCGGGGGCGCGGGAGGGGCCAGGGCACTTGGGGCCCCCCCGGGGGCGAGATGACCTTCTCCATCCCCACGCACAAGTGCGGGTTGGTCATCGGCAGAGGTAAGTGGGGGCCCCCCCCCCCATTAACGTGCCAGCCCCCCCCCCCATTAGAACACATCCGAACACCACCCCCCTCCCCCCCGTGTGCGTGTGCCCCCTGCCCCCGCAGGTGGGGAGAACGTCAAAGCCATCAACCAGCAGACGGGGGCCTTCGTGGAGATCTCGAGGCAGTTGCCCCCCAATGGGGACCCCAACTTTAAGCTCTTCATCATCCGTGGCTCCCCCCAGCAGATCGACCACGCCAAGCAGCTCATCGAGGAGAAGATCGAGGTCTGGGCGGGGGGGGCAGCCCAAAAATACCGCCTTTGTACCCCCCCACCTCCATCATCACCCCCATGCGCTCACCCCGCTACCTTTCGCAGGGGCCGCTCTGCCCTGTGGGGCCAGGACCAGGCCCGGGGGGGCCACCGGGTCCCGCTGGCCCCATGGGGCCCTTCAACCCCGGACCCTTCAACCAGGGCCCCCCCGGAGCCCCCCCACAGTGAGTAGTGGGAGTTAATGGGGGGGTTAAAGATGAGGGGGGTGCTGTATGTGCCCCCCCCCCCCTTTTTGCACCCCACTCACCACCTTTCT